CTTGATCCTATCTCCATGTCCAGGGATAACTTCTCTTATTCCTATCTCCATGTCCAGGGATAGCCCCACTTGTTCCTATACCCTTATCCAGAGATAGCTCCTCTTGTTTCAATCTCCATGTCCTGGGATAGCTCCACTTGATCCTATCTCCATGTCCAGGGATAACTTCTCTTATTCCTATCTCCATGTCCAGGGATAGCCCCACTTGTTCCTATACCCTTATCCAGAGATAGCTCCTCTTGTTTCTATCTCCATGTCCTGGGATAGCTCCACTTGATGCATCTCCATATTCCTATCTCCATGTCCAGGATAGCCCCACTTGTTTATCCAGAGATAGCTCCTCTTGTTTCTATCTCCATGTCCTGGGATAGCTCCACTTGATCCTATCTCCATGTCCAGGATAACTTCTCTTATTCCTATCTCCATGTCCAGGTATAGCCCCACTTGTTCCTATACCCTTATCCAGAGATAGCTCCTCTTGTTTCTATCTCCATGTCCTGGGATAGCTCCACTTGATCCTATCTCCATCTCCAGGGATAACCCATCTTATTCCTATCTCCATGTCCAGGGATAGCCCCACTTGTTCCTATACCCTTATCCAGAGATAGCTCCTCGTGTTTCTATCTCCATGTCCTGGGATAGCTCCACTTGATCCTATTCCATCTCAGGGATAACTCCTCTTATTCCTATCTCCATGTCCAGGTATAGCCCCACTTGTTCCTATACCCTTATCCAGAGATAGCTCCTCTTGTTTCTATCTCCATGTCCTGGGATAGCTCCACTTGATCCTATCTCCATCTCCAGGGATAACTCCTCTTATTCCTATCTCCATGTCCAGGTATTATACCCTTATCCAGAGATAGCTCCTCTTGTTTCAATCTCCATGTCCTGGGATAGCTCCCTTGATCCTATCTCCATGTCAGGGATAACTCCTCTTATTCCTATCTCCATGTCCAGGTATAGCCCCACTTGTTCCTATACCCTTATCCAGAGATAGCTCCTCTTGTTTCAATCTCCATGTCCTAGGATAGCTCCACTTGATCCTATCTCCATGTCCAGGGATAACTTCTCCTATTCCTATCTCATGTCCAGGTATAGCCTCTTGTTCCTCCCCTTATCCAGAGATAGCTCCTCTTGTTTCTATCTCCATGTCCTGGGATAGCTCCACTTTGATCCTATCTCCATGTCCAGGATAACTCCTCTTATTCCTATCTCCATGTCCAGGTATAGCCCCTTGTTCCTATACCCTTATCCAGAGATAGCTCCTCTTGTTTCAATCTCCATGTCCTGGGATAGCTCCACTTGATCCTATCTCCATGTCAGGGATAACTCTCTTATTCATATCTCCATGTCCAGGTATATACCCTTATCCAGAGATAGCTCCTCTTGTTTCTATCTCCATGTCCTGGGATAGCTCCACTTGATCCTATCTCCATGTCCGGGATAACTCCTCTTATTCTATCTCCATGTCCAGGTATAGCCCCACTTGTTCCTATACCCTTATCCAGAGATAGCTCCTCTTGTTTCAATCTCCATGTCCTGGGATAGCTCCACTTGATCCTATCTCCATGTCCAGGGATAACTCCTCTTATTCATATCTCCATGTCCAGGTATAGCCCCACTTGTTCCTATACCCTTATCCAGAGATAGCTCCTCTTGTTTCTATCTCCATGTCCTGGGATAGCTCCACTTGATCCTATCTCCATGTCCAGGGATAACTCCTCTTATTCCTATCTCCATGTCCAGGTATAGCCCCACTTGTTCCTATACCCTTATCCAGAGATAGCTCCTCTTGTTTCAATCTCCATGTCCTGGGATAGCTCCACTTGATCCTATCTCCATGTCCAGGGATAACTTCTCTAATTTCTATCACCATGTCCAGGGATAGCCCCACTTGTTCCTATACCCTTATTCAGAGATAGCTCCCTATTGTTTCTATCTCCATGTCCTGGGATAGCTCCACTTGATCCTATCTCCATGTCCAGGGATAGCTCCTCTTATTCCTATCTCCATGTCCAGGGATAGCCCCACTTGTTCCTATACCCGTATCCAGAGATAGCTCCTCTTGTTTCTATCTCCATGTCCTGGGATAGCTCCACTTGATCCTATCTCCATATCCAGGGATAACTTCTCTTATTCCTATCTCCATGTCCAGGTATAGCCCCACTTGTTCCTATACCCTTATCCAGATAGCTCCTCTTGTTTCTATCTCCATGTCCAGCTCCACTTGATCCTATCTCCATCTCCAGGGATAACTCCTCTTATTCCTATCTCCATGGGATAGCCCACTTGTTCCTATACCCTTATCCAGAGATAGCTCCTCTTGTTTCTATCTCCATGTCCTGGGATAGCTCCACTTGATCCTATCTCCATGTCCAGGGATAACTTCTCTTATTCCTATCTCCATGTCCAGGGATAGCCCCACTTGTTCCTATACCCTTATCCAGAGATAGCTCCTCTTGTTTCTATCTCCATGTCCTGGGATAGCTCCCTTGATCCTATCTCCATGTCCAGGGATAACTTCTCTTATTCCTATCTCCATGTCAGGGATAGCCCCACTTGTTCCTATACCCTTATCCAGAGATAGCTCCTCTTGTTTCTATCTCCATGTCCTGGGATAGCTCCACTTGATCCCTATCTCCATGTCCAGGGAGAGCTCCTCTTATTCCTATCTCCATGTCCAGGATAGCCCCACTTGTTCCTATACCCTTATCAGAGATAGCTCCTCTTGTTTCTATCTCCATGTCCAGGATAGCTCCACTTGATCCTATCTCCATGTCCAGGGATAACTTCTCTTATTCCTATCTCCATGTCCAGGGATCGCCCCACTTGTTCCTATACCCTTATCCAGAGATAGCTCCTCTTGTTTCTATCTCCATGTCCAGGGATAGCTCCACTTGATCCTATCTCCATGTCCAGGGATAACTCCTCTTATTCCTATCTCCATGTCCAGGGATAGCCCCACTTGTTCCTATACCCTTATCCAGAGATAGCTCCTCTTGTTTCTATCTCCATGTCCTGGGATAGCTCCACTTGATCCTATCTCCATGTCCAGGGATAACTTCTCTTATTCCTATCTCCATGTCCAGGGATAGCCACACTTGTTCCTATACCCTTATCCAGAGATAGCTCCTCTTGTTTCTATCTCCATGTCCTGGGATAGCTCCACTTGATCCTATCTCCATGTCCAGGGAGAGCTCCTCTTATTCCTATCTCCATGTCCAGGGATAGCCCCACTTGTTCCTATACCCTTATCCAGAGATAGCTCCTCTTGTTTCTATCTCCATGTCCTGGGATAGCTCCACTTGATCCTATCTCCATGTCCAGGAGAGCTCCTCTTATTCCTATCTCCATGTCCAGGGATAGCCCCACTTGTTCCTATACCCTTATCCAGAGATAGCTCCTCTTGTTTCTATCTCCATGGGATAGCTCCACTTGATCCTATCTCCATGTCCAGGATAACTCCTCTTATTCCTATCTCCATGTCCAGGGATAGCCCCACTTGTTCCTATACCCTTATCCAGAGATAGCTCCTCTTGTTTCTATCTCCATGTCCTGGGATAGCTCCACTTGATCCCTATCTCCATGTCCAGGGATAGCCCCTCTTATTCCTATCTCCATGTCCAGGGATAGCCCCACTTGTTCCTATACCCTTATCCAGAGATAGCTCCTCTTGTTTCTATCTCCATGTCCTGGGATGGCTCATCCACTTGATCTTATTCCTATCTCCATGTCCAGGATAGCTCCTCTTATTCCTATCTCCATGTCCAGGGGATAGCCCCACTTGTTCCTATACCCTTATCCAGAGATAGCTCCTCTTGTTTCTATCTCCATGTCCTGGGATAGCTCCACTTGATCCTATCTCCATGTCCAGGGAGCTCCTCTTATTCCTATCTCCATGTCCAGGGATAGCCCCACTTGTTCCTATACCCTTATCCAGAGATAGCTCCTCTTGTTTCTATCTCCATGTCCTGGGATGGCTCCACTTGATCCTATCTCCATGTCCAGGGATAGCTCCTCTTATTCCTATCTCCATGTCCAGGGATAACTCCACTTGTTCCTATACCCTTATCCAGAGATAGCTCCTCTTGTTTCTATCTCCATGTCCTGGGATGGCTCCACTTGATCCTATCTCCATGTCAGGGATAGCTCCTCTTATTCCTATCTCCATGTCCAGGGATAGCCCCACTTGTTCCTATACACTTATCCAGAGATAGCTCCTCTTGTTTCTATCTCCATGTCCTGGGATAGCTCCACTTGATCCTATCTCCATGTCCAGGATAACTCCTCTTATTCCTATCTCCATGTCCAGGGATAGCCCCACTTGTTCCTATACCCTTATCCAGAGATAGCTCCTCTTGTTTCTATCTCCATGTCCTGGGATAGCTCCACTTGATCCTATCTCCATGTCCAGGGATAACTCCTCTTATTCCTATCTCCATGTCCAGGGATAGCCCCACTTGTTCCTATACCCTTATCCAGATAGCTCCTCTTGTTTCTATCTCCATGTCCTGGGATAGCTCCACTTGATCCTATCTCCATGTCCAGGGATAACTCCTCTTATTCCTATCGCCATGTCCAGGGATAGCCCCACTTGTTCCTATACCCTTATCCAGAGATAGCTCCTCTTGTTTCTATCTCCATGTCCTGGGATAGCTCTTGATCCTATCTCCATGTCCAGGGATAGCCCCACTTGGATCCAGAGATAGCTCCTCTTGTTTCTATCTCCATGTCCTGGTATAGCTCCCATGATCCTATCTCCATGTCCAGGGATAACTCCTCTTATTCCTATCTCCATGTCCAGGGATAGCCCCACTTGTTCCTATACCCTTATCCAGAGATAGCTCCTCTTGTTTCTATCTCCATGTCCTGGGATAGCTCCACTTGATCCTATCTCCATGTCCAGGGAAAACTCCTCTTATTCCTATCTCCATGTCCAGGGATAGCCCCACTTGTTCCTATATCCTTGTCCAGAGATAGCTCCTCTTGTTTCTATCTCCATGTCCTGGGATAGCTCCCTTGATCCTATCTCCATGTCCGGGGATGCTCCTCTTATTCCTATCTCCATGTCAGGGATAGCCCCACTTGTTCCTATATCCTTGTCCAGAGATAGCTCCTCTTGTTTCTATCTCCATGTCCTGGGATAGCTCCACTTGATCCTATCTCCATGTCCAGGGATAGCCCTCTTATTCCTATCTCCATGTCCAGGGATAGCCCCACTTGTTCCTATATCCTTGTCCAGAGATAGCTCCTCTTATTCCTATCTCCATGTCCAGGGATAGCCCCACTTGTTCCTATATCCTTGTCCAGAGATAGCTCCTCTTGTTTCTATCTCCATGTCCTGGGATAGCTCCATGATCCTCTCTCCATGTCCAGGGATAGCCCCTCTTATTCCTATCTCCATGTCCAGGGATAGCCCCACTTGTTCCTATATCCTTGTCCAGAGATAGCTCCTCTTATTCCTATCTCCATGTCCAGGATAGCCCCATGTACCCTTATCCAGAGATAGATCTCCATGTCCAGGGATAGCCCCACTTGTTCCTATATCCTTGTCCAGAGATAGCTCCTCTTGTTTCTATCTCCATGTCCAGGGATAGCCCCATTTGTTCCTATACCCTTATCCAGAGATAGCTCCTCTTGTTTCTATCTCCATGTCCTGGTATAGCTCCACTTGATCCTATCTCCATGTCCAGGGATAACTCCTCTTATTCCTATCTCCATGTCCAGGGATAGCCCCACTTGTTCCTATACCCTTATCCAGAGATAGCTCCTCTTGTTTCTATCTCCATGTCCTGGGATAGCTCCACTTGATCCTATCTCCATGTCCAGGGATAGCTCCTCTTATTCCTATCTCCATGTCCAGGGATAGCTCCACTTGTTCCTATACCCCTTATTCAGAGATAGCTCCTCTTGTTTCTATCTCCATGTCCTGGGATAGCTCCACTTGATCCTATCTCCATGTCCAGGGATAGCTCCTCTTATTCCTATCTCCATGTCCATCTTGTTCCTATACCCTTATCCAGAGATAGCTCCTCTTGTTTCTATCTCCATGTCCTGGGATAGCTCTTGATCCTATCTCCATGTTAGCTCCTCTTATTCCTATCTCCATGTCCAGGGATAGCCCCACTTGTTCCTATACCCTTATCCAGAGATAGCTCCTCTTGTTTCTATCTCCATGTCCTGGGAATGATCTCCATGTCCAGGGATAACTCCTCTTATTCCTATCTCCATGTCCAGGATAGCCCCACTTGTTCCCCATACCCTTATCCAGAGATAGCTCCTCTTGTTCCTATCTCCATGTCCTGGGATAGCTCCACTTGATCCTATCTCCATGTCCAGGGATAGCTCCTCTTATTCTATCTCCATGTCCAGGGATAGCCCCACTTGTTCCTATACCCTTATCCAGGATAGCTCCTCTTGTTTCTATCTCCATGTCCTGGGATAGCTCCACTTGATCCTATCTCCATGTCCAGGGATAACTCCTCTTATTCCTATCTCCATGTCCAGGTATAGCCCCACTTGTTCCCATACCCTTATCCAGAGATAGCTCCTCTTGTTTCTATCTCCATGTCCTGGGATAGCTCCACTTGATCCTATCTCCATGTCCAGGGATAGCTCCTCTTATTCCTATCTCCATGTCCAGGGATAGCCCCACTTGTTCCTATATCCTTGTCCAGAGATAGCTCCTCTTGTTTCTATCTCCATGTCCTGGGATAGCTCCACTTGATCCTATCTCCATGTCCAGGGATAGACCCACTTGTTCCTATATCCTTGTCCAGAGATAGCTCCTATTGTTTCTATCTCCATGTCCTGGGATAGCTCCACTTGATCCTATCTCCATGTCCAGGGATCGCTCCTCTTATTCCTATCTTCATGCCCAAGGATAGCTCCTTTTGTTCCTATTGCTCAGTTATTGCTTACCCTGTGCCTGCTGCTTGTCATCGCAGACATGCAAAAAGTACATTAGGTTTATAGCTCTAAGTTCTAGATTCAGGATTGTCCCACCGGACAACAGCTTAATGGATTTAACTATTGGTTTATGAATTTCGCGGCATATTAATTGTTAAAAACTTAACAAATATCTATAAAGACATGGACAGTGGCACGGAACACTCTGTCCCCGTTGATTAAATAAAGTGTTTCTGTTAAGATTTCCCGAAGATTATTCCGATTCACAGAAGCATAAAGGTGTTCTGGTCGGGTGGAGGAAAACTGCCCAAACTTTGAAATAATAACAACAAAGATTATGACATCAGAAATGGAACCGTACACAAGTCGGCATATGTGACGGGTACCCGATGGATTAGTGTGGCTCGATCGTTTCTATCAAACATTTGTTCTCAGCCTGATCTCATTCCTCGAGGCAGTCTCTTTATCTTTCCGTTTAAACATCAAGCGAAGATACAATCCAAATGTATTCTTCTCAATGAAGTTATTGATTTGCTAGAATCCGCTAATTTCTCCGCATTATTTATAGACGTACTATTTTCACTTTTCTATTTCTGTCCTATTCGATTTCTGGTTCAAATCTAATTAAGTACATATGTATTTAGCTATTTTAAATTTAGGCAATATTCCTTGGGTTAAACGCGTTCAGTAAAATAAAGGACAAAGGGTGTCTCCTGAGCCCTTTGCTAAGTTTCTCCTGATATCGAATAAATTGTTTCATGTCAGTTGGAAACTTGTAAAGAAATATCTATCTATGTCTAAACTCTGTCTAGCTGGTTAACTACACGTGAATGTGCGGCTTGTTATGAGAAATCGGAGAGCCGAGATCGAATACTTGCAGAGTTCGTTATAGACACTGATATCCCTGGGAAAAGTAGGAATCTATCACTTCTTACCCCAAGCTAAGAATCTAATAGTAGGACTTATATACGGAAAAAGCATTACCTCCCCAAAATTATTAATGCAAAATTTGCTCACAAAAAATGAATTATTCTTGCAATATAAAATCTTTCGACTTTAAAATAACACACAGAAGGTTGATATATATATATATATATATATATATATATATATATATATATATATATATATATATATATATATATATATATATCAACCTTTTGTGTGTTTTTTTATAGCGCAGCCCTAAAAAATAGTGGATACAAAAATGCTAACATCAATTATAGAAACAATTGTACTAACCGGAAAAAAAAAAACAGGAAAAGAAAAATCATTTGGTATACCCCTCCGTTCAGCCAAATGGTTAGTATTAAGCTAGGACAGAAATTCCTAGCTTTAATTGAAAAACACTTTCCTACCAATAGTAAACTTAGTAAAATATTTAATAAAAACAACCTAAGATTAAGTTACAGCTGCACTGAAAATCTAGAAAGTATAATAAGAAAACACAATAATAAAATCCTGAATAAACCCCCATGCCAGAATAGTATTAATAAAAACCCTACACTTAAATTAGACAAAAATAGTGAAAAATTATGTGATTGTTGAAACACAGAAGACTGCCCATTGGAAAATAAATGCCGCGTAAAATCTGTGGTATACCAATGAACTATATCATCCACTGAGAGTCCTAATACTAATATGATATACATTGGGTCTACGAAGAATGAATTTAAAACCAGATGGAGGCAGCATAAGTGCTCCTTCAACAATATAAAAAAAAGAAATCAGACATCTCTATCTAAATATTTTTGGCATTTGAAGGAAATGAATAAAACACCAAAAGTAAAATGGAAAATTATAAACAAAACTAGAACTTGTAAAACTTCGGTTTTTTGCCGACATCATCAAATTTTCGCATTGAATAATTAGCATAAAAACAAACAAACAATAAAATAAATTTTAAATTCCATAGTCTAAATAGATAGTTTAAATGCCCTACAAAAAAAAAAAAAGAAAAGATAACCCTTTATGAAGTCGTCAAAAAAACAAATGTTAGCGACTTACGACAGTTTTTTTTTTTATATACACAAAACCCTTTCAGAAAAAAATAAAAAATAAAATAAATAAATCTCCATAGACACTTAACCAGACTAGACGATGTCATCTTTCGCTTTAAATTTAGACACCCCAACCTTACCCTGACTTGACATCTGTGAATGTAACTGAGATATTGATACAAATTATTAACCCTTACGCCCCTTTTCTTTAAACAATTCCTCTAGCCGTTACCATAGTAATCTTAATTTCAATAATGAATATGCTTATAAAACGCGTAAATTTCAGGAATAAGTTATTCAAAAAAAATTTAAGGTATTATGGTGGATGTAATAAGAAAGGTAGGAGCGAATGTGTTGTTTTGGTGATTGGACTATTGTTGGTATGTTTGGGTCTGTGTCTGTGACTAGCTAAGTTTAAAATTAAGACAGAAGAAGACCGTCCTTTCCCCACCCCCTTTTTGGCCTTGTGCCACATTTTGTACAAACGTACAAATAAATAATTATTCCAAAAAAAATTTCGCTTGAAGATGGAACAGAGTTTGGTACTTTAATTCAATTTAATTCAAATAATTATATTGAAGTTTTCGGCTCTTGTTTTGAAACATGAGAACTCTTATGTAGCGTTGGAATCATATTTTTAAATAAATAATTATATTTATAAAGAACTTTGGATTATTTACCTAACGAGTTCTTTCCTATTTTCTATATATTTTTACACACACACACACACACACACACACACACACACACACATATATATATATATATATATATATATATATATATATATATATATATATAGAGAGAGCAGTCATTTCATTTCTATCGATATATCCCAATCTATTCATATCTATTTATCTTCGTTTTTCTATCTATCTATCTATCTATCTATCTATCTATCTATCTATCTATCTATCTATCTATGCAGCTATCTCTGTCGTTTCATATCTACCGATCTATCCAAGTCTATTATTCATGTTCATCTAAACTTTTCAAACGCTATATTTGCAAGGCATCCCCGCCATGTTCTGTTCACACCTTCCTCTTTATTTATTGTCTTATTCTGGGTTAACAAAAATCAGTGTCAAATTAAAGATGACTGATCATGTCTTGTTTGCATTTAAAATCTTTCTCGTCCCAATCTGTTCATTTTGTATTTATAAACACTCAAATATGTAGACAGTAAAGTGGGCAGATATGTTGGGAGGTAATTTGAAGGTTAAATAGGCAGATACGCCGGCAGCTATTGGATTTATTTTCCTAAACCTAAATAGCATACGCGCGTATAAGTGTCTTAAAAATACACATGACCTTTTGTACTAGTTCAAAAATTTTATGTTAATTAAACACATATTTTGTGTTAATTAAACACAATTTTTGTGTTAATTAAACACATTTTTTAAAAAAAGAATAAAATTTATAACATCGGTTAACGTTCTCGTTGGAATGGTTCGATTGAAAAATTGTGGGTAAAGATATTTTTAAAAAATCATCAGTTTATAAAAGTCGTGGATTTTTTTTATCTTAAACATTTTAGACACATTTTTTTAATCATTTAACCTCAAGCAAGTTAATAAAGCCACTAAGACGTATGGTGTACTCAGTGTCAGAGAAGTAAAAGCAATTGTTTTAAATTACAAAAAGCAGAATTATCCGATTTAAATGAAATTTTTAGAAATTGTTAGCGAAATCTTTTTACAGGTTTATAAAAAATCCCTGAAGAAGGTATTTGAGTAAAAATAATATTATATGCAATATCAAGTGTGAACATAACGGAAATTCTTTTGAGTATGAGAGAATATGAGAAAAAACATACTATTAAGGAGTGAGAACAATAAAATAACAGGAATTAAAAGGACAAAAGATAATGATTGATATTTAAATTTTTGAAGATCAAAATTGACTGGAAAACAAGAAGCCAGAAGAGAGTTCCACAAGCGAGAAGTGCGATAGAAGAAACTCTTAGCATAGAACTTACGGTTATATCTATTTATTTCAAGTGCAAAATGATGAGACATTTCTGCAAATCTAGCACTGCACTTAAATTCATAAATTCTAGGTACCACAGAGGAAAGTATTTTGAAAAATATAAAGCTGACGCAAGACCAAAAGGGGGCAGGGTAGGGGAATGCTGGTCTTCAATCTCTTATCTTAAACTTAGCTAGCCACGTTTACTGACCCAAATATTCCCCAGTATTCCTTACACCAAAACAACACATCTTTACTTACCATTCTTACTACAGCCAACATAATACCTCAGAGTCTCTATGAAGTTCTAACTAGTTCCCATATGCATAATTTGTCTGTCGGGGTGGAGAATAAAATAACAACTTCTAAAAATGAAACCCCAACGAACATTTACAATGATTACAATTTTATATACAAGAAGCTAAAAAAAATAATCTTAGTAATAAACCCCCACAAAATCTTTAATCGTGACAGAAACATCAGTTAACTGGACGAAATTAATGCGAGACTAGATAATTAAAAACAATCATTCGACTAAGCACTCACTCAGACACAAACTCGTCCAGACACAAAAAATACGAAATGCACACTCGAAAGACGAAAAGCGTCCCACATCTACCAGAGAACTGACATCCCTGTTATGTAAAGGAGGAGGGGAGGGGGGATTAAACTAAAGAAAGTGGCGACAGAAATTAAAGGGACCAACGAGCATACATCCGCCAGCTAAGTTAACTTGATAGAAGAAACTAAGAATAAAACACAGAGGGAAGTTTATGAGAGCAATTACCTTGAAAGTATTTGTAAAAAAAGTCGTAGGGTACCTACATTACAGTGATAGGAAAGTGACTGAAGCCGAAATGCCAAGTCACGACCAGTAACATTACAGATTCTTCTTTTAATTTTATGAAGAATTTCTAAACATATAGCAGGATATACAGAATCAGGATATACCCAGGTAATACCCCTAGGTACTAAAGATGCAAGCTTTGAACAATTAACAAGAAAGTATCTGTAGAAAAGTTACAAGGAAGCTACGTGACTTTGGTAGGAAAGTAACTGGTGTTTTAAATTCTAAAGGATATTTTTTTCTTTTAAACAATATTTTTTTTTAAGTTCTAAACGATATTTTTTATCTTTAAGCTTTTTAAAGCAAATTTGTCCTTTCCCTTGACCAACAGATGAATAGAGAAGAAAAATAAATCAATAGAAAGCTGAATATTCTTTTCAATTTAAATCTTTTCGGTGGTAAAGAGAAAAGGAAAAATTATTAGAAATTGCTAACAACGTTCTCATAATATGCAACACTTGGAAAATAGTAATAGAAAGTTCTAAACGATAGTGTTTTATACTTTAAGAATTTAAAATCTTAAAGCAAATTTTTGCCTTACCTTGACCACAGACAATAAACTACATCCAGCAACAATGCCTCTGATCAGGAGGTTTTGAGAAGCATGGAACCCCTTCTTAATTGCTGTTGTTCTCAGGTCCACCCAGACCCGGGGTTCTAGCACCAGTTAGGGTCTCAGCTATGGGCAAATAGTGAACCCTCAAACAAAACAAAATACTATGATAATATAAAATTACATATTTATAGTAAAATTATCAACAATACATTTCATCTGTAGTTGAAGGCTTGCAATTGCGTTTAAATTATTTAGATTTCCACATTAAATAACCCATAAAGGTTTATATGCTGCTAAACAAAATCAAGCTACCAACAAATTGTTTTTAAATTCGTATACATTTTTATAGTAAAAATACCAGCAATACTTTTTATATAAAAAGGGGCCAGCAATACATATTTATAGTAAAATGAGCAACAATACATGTTAAAGCAAAATTAACAGCAATACACTTTCTGTACTTGAAGGCATACAATTGCGTTCCAAATATATTTAGTTTATAATTGTGTTCAAATTATTTAGAATTCGGCATTAAATAACCCATAGAGGTTGATATGCTGCTAAACAAAATCGACCAAACCAATCAGAGTGAATATGTTCTCGCTATTATGAAAATGTTGTACTTCCCCTAGACTGATTGTCAATCAAAGTTACAAAGACTAACCTACCCGGCTATTTAACCCATAGTGAAGGAATTAAAACTTAGGATTCATCAAATTTATCTGCACATGATAGCATGGAATACACCTTTTATGTCAAAATCCTGATGCACCTGACTAATCACTCGTTGTGACATTGAGTGCAATGTTTACTTTTAATTACTTTATATATATATATATATATATATATATATATATATATATGAGTTGGGATCAAGTGCAGTGATTTACTAAGCATAACTTACTTTTGACACAAGGTCGAGTTTAAAGAGGAGTAAGTGATTATAGAACTAACTCCTAAGTCGTAATCGATGTAGCGAGACAAGCTTGCTAACCATGACACCACGTCAAAGAGCCCATAATGATATTCTAAAAGTAACTTAGATGTTGCACAAAGACGAAAGTATGGAGCACCCAGTGAGGATCGAACTCACTAGTCATTCGTTAAAATTGTTATCAAATATGGATTGGAATCCGACAAAAGTATAGGATGGATGAAATATTGAAGAAAAAAGAATTTTTTCTTTTTCTGGTCCATATTTCATTCTCTCATAAAAATTTTTTAAAAGTGAAACATGTCAGATTCCTAAACATTTCCTATTTCTTCCTTATACTATTATATGCATGCATACATTTATATATATTATATATATATATATATATATATATATATATATATATATATATATATATATATAAGCGGACATATACATAAAAGTGGACACTGGGGTCAACAGTCTGTTTCATGCTTGAACGCAATCTTCAGGCCAAGTGTTTGAAGAACGCGCTCAAGTATGAAACAGACTATCGCCACATTGTATCGATCTCAGTGTCCACTTTTATATATACATACGCTGTATCTCTGATGTTGATCACTTTTACCTATAAATATAACATACATTAAAAAACTATATATATATATATATATATATATATATATATATATATATATATATATACGTAGAAAGTTGCTTCATGTGTTTAAAAACAACTACGTAAGTGAATAATAAGTCTTGTTTGTTTGTTTGTGAGCGTGTGTGTATATATGTATGTGCGTATGTATAAACGAAATCCAGTCTACAGAAACATGTGTTTGTTGACAGCTATCAACGACTTTCTTTCCCTCTTCATATATATATATATATATATATATATATATATATATATATATATATTATTTTTTATAAAAAATTTATAACATAAGTATGTTATAAAATCACTACAAAAATAGCCATTTTGTTTAAGACACAGTGTGTTGAAACAAAATGGCTATTTTTGTAGTGATTTTATAACATACTTATGTTATAAATTTTTTTATAAAAATAATTATATCTGCTCTACTTTGTATTGAGCACTCTTTTAAGAATAGTAATTGTTGGTTATTGGAATTCATTCCGTGTATACCAATTATATACTTTGATATATATATATATATATATATATATATATATATATATATATATATATATATATATCCACCCTTCTCTATAGATATAAATTTATACGAATATATACGCGTTCGCACACACACAAACACACACACATATATATATATATGTATATATATATATGTATACATACGTATATTTGCACTTACTGTATACATATCTGTATAGAGAGAGAGAGAGAGAGAGAGAGAGAGAGAGAAGGAAAGAGATGTTGACTTCCATGCTTATATTTCCACACACATGCACACGCACGCACAAAAGCATACACACGCACACACAGAGTCTGGTTGCAGTTTTGTATATCCATAGTTGGAATCTCGTCAGACTAATTTGTTGCCAAACTATTACAGACGACAGCAGACAGAGACGGGTAGGTGAATATGGGGTGGATTATGTTGAGGGTGCGTTCGAGAGAAGGAAAGGGTGGTATGATTGAGGCAAACGCGCCAAGAAGCCAACGTTTTTATAAGGTCAGATGTACGAATCTGCCGTCGATGAATTAGTCTGACCAACATTTCAGCAAACAATTTCATTAATCTTTGCCCATGGATTATCAGCTATTTTCCATTTCGGATTTAGATTCTCTCCAAGGACAAAGTCAAATCAACAATAATTCAATAACACA